AGGAAATCAGCTCTAATATATATTATTTATGCATAATGGTCAGAGAGCCCATCATAAGTCTGAGTTGTCGGTAAACGAGTACATTGCTAAACGAGGAGAGGCTTTATTAATAACCTGATACCCAGATTTATGAAGGAGCACCCTACTTTTTAAATAGTGAAATGAGTTTGTTGTCTGTGTGTGGGCCTCTACAAATTTTCATAAATCTTTAAGAAGTTCCTCACAAAATAAAAATTGTGGTGTGATGTGGGAAAGGTGACTGTTACCTAAATATTATTAGCTGAGTTAAAGTTGATACAATCCAAATTATGAAATTACATTGGTACCTTGATGTACAAGTGCTCCAACTTACGAGCTTTCCGAGTTATGAGCTGTCGCTCGGTTGATTTTTTGCTTTGAGTTGCGAGCCAAAATCTGAGTTACGAGCAAGCTTCAGATACGCCGCCACTCGCAGGAGAGAGGAAATATCAAAAACCTCAATAATAACCAATGTGTAATATCCTTTCAATTTTGATACCACTGGTAGTGTCATCCTACCAGAATGTTCTATAATATATGCTCTAAGTACAGAGAAACAATTCTGGAACATATGTAATACATGTTCAGCAGGCCGGCTGGTTGGGTGGCCGGTTGGCTGATTTGCTTTGGCTGTCTCTATCTCCTTCTGTCTGTCTGTATCTATCTCCAACTCTGTCTATCTGTGTCTCTATCTCTGTCTCTGTCTGTCTCTATCTCACAGGTACACCTAAATTCAGTTATACATAGTGTAAATTACCTAGGATAACCCCCAAAAATCCAGACAAAGTGCTATATTACGCTTATAGATATAAGGCATAATAAGCATGACTGACTGGCAAGTACTACATAATTTTCACTTGTTCAGGAATCAGATGTGACTAACTTTGCATCGTGTGTAATACCTGTTGGTTCATAAGCAGCTCTCTCTCTGAGACAGAGAGACAAGCAGAGAGACAGGAAGACAGAAACACAAGCAGACAGAAAGACAGATAAGCAGAGACAGAGATAAACACAGAGAGAGCTAGACAGACAAATAGAAGAAACAGATACAGACATTTTTATTTGTAATAGTGAAATATAAATCCAAGGCGGTGCATGATCATCAAATGTAACTCCACGAGTGACACTCCACTGCCAGTGGAGTGGCACTCATCTTACACCATGCTTCAAGGAGTTTCATATATACTCCAGTATTTCTAAAACACTGCTGGGACCTGGCAAAAAAGGCAAAAATCATTTCTTATTTATAAATACATTTTGCTTATTTAAAAACCCATAACAAAAAAAATTTGGGTGGTTTTTGGGGGGCTGGAATGGATTAATGGCATTTCAACTAATTTCAATGAGGAAAACTGATTTGATATACAGTGGACCCCCGGTATTCGATGGCATCGGTATTCGATGCATTTTATCGCAAAAATTTTGCCTCGGTATTCGATTGAAAACCCGGTATTCAATGCGATTCGTACGAGACGTGTCCATGTGTGGCCTGAACTGCCCCGTGTGTGCCAGTGTTTACAAGCCAGCCAGTGTGCACGCATCTAAGGATACATTCCGTACATTCCACATTATCACTGTTTTTGGTGCTTGTTTCTACAAAGTAAGTCACCATGGGCCCCAAGAAAGCTTCTAGTGCCAACCCTTCGAGAAAAAAGGTGCTAATGACTATTGAAATGAAGAAAGAGATAATTGCAAAGTACGAAAGTGGAGTGCGTGTGTCGGAGCTGGTCAGGTTGTATAGTAAACCCCAATCAATCATCTCTACTATAGTGACCAGGAAAATGGCAATCAAGGAAGCTGTTCTTGCAAAAGGTGCTACTGTGATTACGAAACAGTGACCGCAAGTGTTAGAAAATGTTGAGAGACTGTTATTGGTGTGAATAAATAAAAAACAGATAGCAGGAGATAGCATCTCTCAAGCGATCATTTGTGAAAAGGCTAGGCAGTTGCATGACGATTTGGTAAAGAAATTGCCTGCAACTAGTGCTGATGTGAGTGAATTTAAGGCCAGCAAAGGTTGGTTTGAAAGATTTAAGAATCGTAGTGGCATACATAGTGTGATTAGGCATGGTGAGGCTGCCAGTTCAGACCACAAAGCAGCTGAAAAATATGTGAGGGAATTCAAGGATTACACAGAGAGTGAAAAATTAAACCTGAACAAGTGTTTAATTCTGACGAAACAGGCCTGTTTTGGAAGAAAATGCCAAGCAGGACCTACATTACTCAGGAGGAAAAGGCACTCCCAGGACATAAGCCTATGAAAGACAGGCTTACTCTGTTGATGTGTGCCAATGCTAGTGGTGATTGCAAAGTGAAGCCTTTATTGGTGTATCACTCTGAAACTCCCAGACCGTTCAGGCAAAAGAATGTCCTCAAGGCTAATTTGTGTGTGCTGTGGAGGGCAAACAGTAAGGCATGGGTCACTAGGGACTTTTTCTATGACTGGTTACACCATGCATTTGTCCCCACTGTGAAAAATTACCTAATTGAAAAGAAATTAGACCTTAAGTGCCTCCTGGTATTAGACAATGTCCCTGGTCATCCTACAGACTTGGCAGAGCGACTTTCTGGGGACATGAGCTTCATTAAGGTCAAGTTTTTGCCTCCTAATACCACTCCTCTCCTGCAGCCCATGGACCAGCAGGTCATTTCCAACTTCAAGAAACTGTACAAAAAAGCTGTTTCAAAAGTGCTTTGTAGTGACCACAGAAACTCAACTGACTCTATAAGAGTTTTGGAAGGATCACTTTAATATCCTCAATTGTATAAACCTTATAGGTATGGCTTGGGAGGGAGTGACTAAGAGGACCTTGAACTCTGCTTGGAAAAAACTGTGGCCAGAATATGTAGACAACAGGGATTTTGAAGGATTTGAGGCTAACCCTGAGAAGCCTATGCCAGTTGAGGAATCCATTGTGGCATTGGGGAAGTCCTTGGGGTTGGAGGTTAGTGGGGAAGATGTGGAAGAGTTGGTGGAGGAGGACAATGAAGAACTAACCACTGATGAGCTGCTAGATCATCTTCAACAGCAAGAGGCCAGACCTGAGGAAACTGCTTTGGAGGAGGGGATAGAGAAATTGAAGAAGTTGCCTACTTCAAGGATTAAGGAAATGTGTGCAATGTGGCTTAAAGTGCAAACCTTTTTTGATTACAATCACCCTAACACAGCTATTGCAAGCCATGCTGGTGACTATTACACTGACAATGTTGTGAAACACTTTAGGAATGTCATAAAGGAACGGGAGGTACGGGCCTCTGTGGACAGATATGTTATGCGACAGAAGTCCAGTGACTCTCAAGCTGGTCCTAGTGGCATTAAAAGAAGAAGGGAAGTAACCCTGGAAAAGGAATTGCTACCTCAAGTCCTAATGGAAGGTGATTCCCCTTCTAAACACTAAGACCTCTCCCCTCCTCCCATCCCATCAATCATCACCAGATCTTCATTAAAGGTAAGTGTCAATTATTCTATTGTTATTGTTATTATTGTAATTATTCTATTGCAATAAACTTAATATTTCATGTGGTAAAATTTTGTTTTTCATACCTTTGGGTGTCTTGCAGGGATTAATTTGATTTCCATTATTTCTTATGAGGAAAACTGATTCGCTTTTCGATATTTTCGGTATTCGATGAGCTCTCAGGAGCGGATTAATATCGAATATCGGGGTCCACTGTACAGTGGACCCTCGGTTAATGATATTAATCCGTTCCTGAGAGCTCATCGTTAGACAAAATTATCGTTAGTCAAATTAATTTTCCCCATAAGAAATAATGGAAATCCAATTAATAAGTTCCAGACAGCCAAAAGTATTAACAATTTTTTTTTTTCATGAAATATACATTTCCCTACAAAGAAAACAATGAGACATGCACAATAACTATATAAATAAATGTTAAAGTGACACTTACCTTTACTGAAGAGAATTGATGAGTGATGAGGCACTGTTTTTCTTGAACACTCTGAGATTTTCAGAGTGATACATGAGTAAAGGCTTCACTTTGCAATCCCCACTAGCATTACAACAAAACAAGAAAGTTAGCCTGTCTTCCATAGACTTGTGTCCTGGGAGTGCCTTTTCCTCCTGAGTTAATGTAGGTCCTGTTTGGCATTTTCTTCCAGAACAGGCCTGTTTTGTCACAATTGAACACTTGTTGGGGTTGGAATTTTTCAGCTTCACCATGCCTTATCACACTGTGTATGCCACTATGATTCTTAAATCTCTCAAACCAGCCTTTGCTGGCCTTAAATTCACCAATATGAGCACTAGTTCCAGACATTTTTTCCTCTTCACCTGGGCGTTAGTTGACTAGTGTGGGTCGCATCCTGGGGGACAAGATTAAGGACCCCAATGGAAATAAGTTAGACAGTTCTTGATGACTCACTGACTTTCTTGGGGTATCCTGGGTGGCTAACCCTCTGGGGTTAGTTGTTTCTTGGTAACTGTTTCTCGTTAAGGCACACCAACAGTCTCTCCACATCTTTGAGTAGTACAGCTGACGGTGGTGCAGCAACAGCTGATGGTGGTGCAGCAGCAGCTGACCGTGGTATGACAGTATTTCTCACCCTTTTTACCACAGGGTTGGCACTAGAAGCTTTCTTTGGGCCCATGGTGGCTTATTCAGCAGTTACAAGCACTATAAACAATGGAATAATACAAAATGTATCGAATGTATGCATGAAACCGGCCACCCTGGCTTGTAAACAAAGATGGCTGGGCAGCTGAGGCACTCAGGCTGGATGGACAGGTTTGGGATGAATCACGTTGGGAGAGTTTTTTATCGTTAGCCAGGCCAAAATTTTTACGCTCAAACGCTTCGTTGGGCAGATTTAATGTTATGCGATGGGTTCGTTAGCCGAGGGTCCAATGTACGATAAAATTGAGTTATGAGCTGGGTCATGGAATGAATTAAACTTGTAAGTCAAGGCACCAATGTATTATTATTTAAAATGTCAAGCCAAGTGCTGACACACTATGTCTTACCTGGCTCAGTCTCTGCCTCAGCGTCTGTGAGATCAGCCTCTATGCGAGCTGATCCAGCTGTTTCAGAGTCCATCCTCAGGGTAAGTTCTGTTGTGCTGGAGTGAGAATCTTCCTCGCATGGTGAAGTTAAACCTTCAGCACCCAGACTTATGTCCACACTCCTAATGTAAGAGCATGAGTGATATCACAAAAATATTATAGTACACTGCTTTTATTTAAAGGTAGTGAGGAAAACTGAGCAATAGTATGCATGTTTTATAGTAGAAGTAAGAGAAACTATGTATTACATTTTTTACACTGGGAAGTGCTTGAATGGAACCTTTTTTATCCCAATATACTTTATGTTACATGGAATGTTTTTCCAGAAATGCTAATTGAGGGCTCAGTGTATGGTTAATGTTGCACAAATAGTCTGCACACACAAGAATGAAACTTATGACAATGTCATAGGTTTCATTCTTCTATGTACAGGTTATTTGTGTATTGTTCCAGTCACAGTATTGTGTCTTTTTTTTCTTCATAATTAATGTTGTAAAAAAATTAATATAAATAGCTCACAGACTTGGAGGGTGTATAAATCTGCAGTGGAGGGGAGGAGGGGTAGAGGTTGTCCTAGGAAAGGATGGAGGGAGGGGGTAAAAGAAGTTTTGTGTGCAAGGGGCTTGGTCATGTAGCAGGCATGTGTGAGCATTTTAGATAAAAGTGAATGAATGGTTTTTGGAACTGATGATCTGTTGGAATGTGAGCAGGGTAATGTTTTGTGAAGGGATTCAGAGAAACCAGTTAGCCGGACTTGAGTCCTGGAGGTGGGAAGTACAATGCCTACACTTTGAAGGAGGGGTTTGGGAAGTTTGTTGTTTGGAATGACATCTGAACTGTCATATCTGAGTGCCTCTGCAAAGACAGTGATTATGTGTGAATGATGGTGAAAGTTTTTCTTTCTTTTTTGGGTCACGCTGCCTTGGTGGGAGAAGGTTGGCATTAAAAAAAAAAAAAAAACCTCATTAGTACTGTAATCTGCTTAGTTAACAATTTTGGAGCTCTGTTCCTGAACCTGTTATATACTTATTTCTGTATCTTCTGATACAGCATGGATATGATACGACTTACTACCAACTAAATGTTTATGAGATGCATAAGAAAGATATAAACTATTACTAAAATATGCAAGAGGAAATAGTTAAGTTCTTCAGTCAGAATAAGTAATTCAAGGACATAAAGAAATCCTAAAGATTCCCAACTACATTCCTAGTGTTTAATTTATTCCATAGTAAAGTTCACTATATGTACCGTATAACCTTATTACACTTGTGTTAGTTAAACGATTCTGTGAGCTCTGCCAGTGAGAAATACAGTGCCTGCACTCTGAAGGAAAGACAGGGATATTTGCAGTTTTAAACTGAAGTATTGGTGTGCCTCTGATACGATAGTGGAATGAGTGATGGTGAAAGTGTTTCTTCTTTTCTGGGTCAGCCTACCTCAGTGGAAGACAGCCAGTTTGTGGGAAAAAAATAACAGTAACACTGTTGTATGGGAGTGAAGCATATGTTTTGAATGTTGCAGCAAGGAGGAGGGTGGGGAAAGTAAAGCTGTTGTGTTTGAAAATAATGTATGCTATGAATATTATGCAGAAAATTCTGCGTTTTAAGATTAGGAGGTGTGGGATTATCAAAGTATTATTCAGAGGGCTCAGGAGGGGTTGAGATGGTCTATCATGTAAAACAAGGGATACCTGTATATGGTGGAATAGTTATGCATTGCATAAAAATGACTGAACTATTAGGAGAATAACCTGTTAAATGTCCAAACATTGATCTACATTTTCACTACTAGCGCTCTGAATATTTTGAAAATGTTTTTTTTTAAATAAAGAGGGCAATTTTCTAAGTGTAATAAGACCAAAAAAAAAAGAAAAATTAGGGGTAGTACTTACCGAGATGGCCTCGAAATTAGCACTGGATGCTCACCAGAGAGCAACGGAGTCCTGCTGCTTGCAGAAATATTGCCGATATACCTTTTTTCTCGTATTTTTTAATTTACATTATTTTTACATTGTGATAATTACAATTTATAGTAGTTCTTGTTATTTTGTAGCCAATCTTTGTTCTGACACTAATATTAGGTACAGAATTAGTAATCAAACAGTCACAAGAACACTGACAGGTGAACATGTTCATCTGTTTTGGTCACACTATTGTCTAGAAATATATATATAAATGATTTATATGTCCCAGCAATGCTTTTAGAAGTATACAGTGGAGCCTCAAAAATCAAACGTATCACATATCGAACGTTTCGAAAATAGGACCATTTTTTTCGGACAGTGTCCCTATTATCGAACGCGCCCCTATTTTCGGACCGCCGGGTACGGGACCTGTCTGCCGCCTGCTCTGTCCGCGTCCCCGCGCAGGCGCCGTGAGCAGTCTAGCTTTGTTTATGCTTGAGTGAACACTAACCTGCTCTCTCATTCACGCATTTTACGATTATTTCATTGTGTTTAGTGCTTGTGGGACTGTGAAATAAACTGCCATGGGCCCAAAGAAACTTGCTAGTGGTACCCCTGTGGTAAAGAAAGTGAGAAACGCCATAGATGTGAAGAAGGAAATAATACAGAAGCATGAGAGTGGTGTGAGACTTGTTGAGCTTGCCAGGATGTATGGGAAAAACAAGTCCACCATCGGTTCTATCCTGTCAAAGAAAGAACAAATCAAGGAAGCTGATGTGAAAGGTGTTAATATAGGGAGTGGATGAGGTGCCTTCGTCAAAGATTAAGGAGATTTGTGCCAAGTGGAATAATGTCCAAATGTTTGTGCAGAAGTACCACCCTGAGCAAGCTGAAACAAGCCATCTTTGCAACAAGTTCAGTGACAGAACCATGTCCCATTTTAGGGAAATGTTAAAGAGGCGCCAGAAACAGAGGACTGTGGACAGTTATTTAGTGAGACAGGGGTCCAGTGACTCTCAAGCTGGTCCTAGTGGCATTAAAAGACAGAGAAGGGAAGTAACCCCAGAGTATTCTTTTCAAGATTGATGGACTGAACACATCGACTCAAGGTTGAGGGACTGATTACCTCATTCTCCTCCTGTTCTTCAAGTTTCTCCTACGTATGGACTGATGAAGCCACTGTGTGGCGAAACGTTTCCTCAATAAAGATACCCAAGAGTTGCACATGTGTCTAATTTATCAACATGTCGGTTCTCTGAACCATTCATCTACAACCCCAGAGAGGGTTTTACCTGAAGTCCTCATGGAGGGGGATTCTCCTTCCAAACAGTAACCCCAACTCCCTCTCTCCTCCTCCCTATCTTCCAGATGCCATCACCAATCTTCAATAAAGTAAAAATGTTTTTTATATCTATTACTATATATAATTAAAAACTATAGTATATGTTGTATGTAAAACTGTAATTAATCTCTATAATATGTATTTTTTGTGTGAATATTTTTGGGTTTCTGGAACGGATTAATTGTATTTCCATTATTTCTTACGGGAAATACTGCTTCGAATTTCAGACTTTTCGAATTTAGAACTAGCTCCTGGAATGGATTAAGTTCGATTTTTGAGGTTCCACTGTATATGAAACTTCTTGCAGTATGATGTCAAACAACAGTGTCACTCGACATTGCTGATGGTGCAGTCACTCAATACTGCTGATTATGCACTGCTCCCAATGAACCTTGGTATGTTTTTTTATTTGTTCTCAATGTCACATCTACCTATCTGTCTGTCTATCTGTGTCTGTCTGTCTAGCTCTGTCTCTGTTTACCTCTGTCTCTGCTATCTGTCAGACTGTCTCATATCCACTAGAGGTTCTGTCTCTTATTCTCTTGCTTCCTTGCTGGCCAAAACACTCACTCCCTTTCTTGGTACTTTTTCTCCTGCCCACTTTCAAGACTTCATCGAACAAGTTCGCCCTCTCCCGACCTGTAAGATGCTTAGTTTTGACGCTGAGTCCCTGTTGATGATGTTTTTAATTTTCTCAGAGAGAAGGCCAATGAAGGGTTACTTCATCTCCCTATAATTACTGATGTCTTTCTTGATCTTATTTGCCTTTGTGTGGACTCAAATTTCTTTTCCTTCCAAGGCAAATATTATTCTCAAACCTTCAGTGTTGCTATGGGCTCTCTATCTCCTGTTCTTGCTAACCTTTATATGGAATATTTCGAAACTCTTTTTCTTCCCACTACTGGTATGCACCCTTCTCTGTGGCTCTGCTATGTAGATGACATCTTCGCTCTTTGGCCTCATGATTCAATTCTCTTCCAACCATTTCTCGATGCCCTTAATAATCTTGTCCCATCCATTAAGTTTAAAGCTGAATGGGAATCTAATTCTTTGCTTCCTTTCCTTGACGTTCATGTCCACCGCTTGGACACGTGTTTTGCTTTTTCCGTATATAGCAAGCCTATGCAGAGTGGCATGTACATTCACTACTTTTCTTATCATGCTTCCTCTGTCAAGAAAAGTGTTCTTATTTATCACTTTCTCCATGCTCTCTGCATTTATGACCCTCAGTTCCTTGAATTGAAAAGTTCCACTCTTCATAATTCATTCCCTCATCTTGGCTACCCTTCCCTTTTCATAAACTCTGCCTTCTCACTTGCTAAACTGACTTTCTTCTCTCCCAAACTCTCTACTCTTTGGATATCTCCTGTTCTTTGCCTTCCCTGTATTTCCAGTCATTCTTATCTCAACAACTCTCTCCATTCCTTAGATATCAAACTTACTTTTTGCAAGACTAACACTCTTCGTACCAATCTAGCTCGTATCTCTCCTCCTGCTACAGATACTTCTGGTGTCTACTCTATTTCATTTTCCTCTTGTCCTCTTCAGTACTGTGGAGAAACTGGCCATTCTCTTTCTGATAGCCTCAAAGGGCACAAAAGAAGTGTTACGCTTGTCAACACCAACAATGCTCTTTTCTGTCATGTCAGAGATCAGTCATCCAACTGACTGGCCTGCTATAACTGTCTGCACTACTTCTTTCACATTCGCTGTCTGGTTGAATCCTCCCTTATACACAACTTTCCTTGTATGAATCTTAGTCCTGGCTTTGTCTCTGTAGATGCCTTCCTTTCCCATTACATTGTAAAATGCTCCGAACTTCAGAAAACTGGCGACTTAACCCGATTCTTTTTTTTTTCTCCTTCTCTTTCTACCTCTTCCCCTTTCCTTTTTTTCTTTGGGTATTCTTTTTTTCTGCCTGGGGTGTTTGGTCCTTTACTTTCTCCCTGTGTTTTTGTTCTAACCCCTTGTGGGCCCTTAGCTCTCCTGCAGTGCTCCTCTTTCTTGGCCTTTGATTCTATTACTACTACTACCTCTCTACTTCCTTTCCTACTATCTTGTCCCATCCCTGTCAGCTGGCCTATATATATACTGCCTCCTCCTCTCCTGTTAGTGTGACTTTGTAAATGGTCCAAGTCAGACCGAAATGTCATTGTAAGCTCCTCTCTCCTATGTGCAGGTTATTTGTATATAGTGCCTGTCTATCAGTCTGCCTGTGTGTGTATCTCTGTCTCAAGTGAGAGCTGCTCATGAACCAACAGGTATTACACACGTTGCAGAATCGTCACGTCTGAACAAATGGAAATGCAATATTACTTGCCAGCCATGCTTATGCCTCATATCAACAGGCACAGAATAGCACTTTGTCTGGCTTGTTTTGGTTATCTTGGTGAGTAATTTACACTATGTAAGATAACTGTATGTGTGTGTACCTGTACCTAAATAAACTTGTATTAAACTGGGCAGAATTATCGACAATATATTAAGTAAAAGGACACAAGTGCAATTAATGCGACATTTTAACATGGTAACGTTTTGCTCTCCAGGAGCTTTGTGAAGCTGTTTTTGTCAAGCTGTAAGAGCAAAACGTTGCCACAACAAAATGTCACATTAGCTGCACTTGTCCTTTTACTTAACACTAAATAAACTTACTTAGTCCTTGATTCTGGTTTATGAGTGGCTCTGGGACAAAGACGGAGAGTGAGTGAGTGATCAAGTAAGCCAGAGAGCGAGCGAGCCAGAGAGAGAGAAAGTCAGAGAGAGAGAGAACAAGTCAGAGATCGAGTGAGCAAGTCAGCCAGCCAGCCAAAGAGCCAGGCCAGTTAGCCATCTACCCAGCCAGTCAGCCACACAGCTACCCAGCCGGCCAACCAGCCAGCCAGCCAGCCAGTTAGCCAGCCAGCCAGTCAGCCAGTTTGGCAGTTAGCCAGCCAGTTAGGCAGTTTAGCAGTTAGCCAGCCAGTTAGCCAGTCAGCCAGCCAGGAAGCCAGCCAGCCAGTTAGCCAGTCAGTCAGTCAGTTAGTCAGCCATATAGCAAGCCAGCCAGTTAGTCAGCCATATAGCAAGCCAGCCAGTTAGTCAGCCAGTTAAGTAGTTAGCCAGCCCACCAGCCAGGAAGCCAGCCAGCCAGCCAGCCAGTTAGCCAGTCAAGTCAGTCAGTTAGCCAGCCAGTTAGCAAGCCAGTCAGTTAGCCAGCCAGTTAGGCAGTTAGCCAGCCAATTAGGCAGTTAGCCAGCCAGTTAGGTAGTTAGCCAGCCAGTTATGCAGTTAGCCAGCCAGCCAGTTAGTTAGCTAGTTAGCCAACCTGCCAGTTAGCTAGTTAGCCAGCCAGCCAGCCACCTTGCCGAACATATATTACACGTTACAGAATCATTTCTCTTTACTTAGACTATTGGTAATAGGACATTCTGGACAGATGAGACTACCAGTGTATCAAAATTGAAAGAATGTTGTACAAATGTTGCGCATGGACTATTATTTAGATTTTTTATATTTCCTTGACCACTTGTGGCTTAATACAACACGGCATTAGTGAATCCCTGGTGTCTGCCATGCTGTTTCCTCTAGCTGGTGCTCAATTGAACTGATGCTCACACAAGGTACTAATTGGTCCCAGATTTTTTTAATATTGCACATGCTGAGTGTTAAGACCCATTCTATAATGCCTAGGCCTATCAGGTCTATCATGCCAAATTCGGAGGCAGGAAAAATAAAATGTTGATCTATGTTTGGAATGCTAGCAGTAAGAATGCAGATTAACATTTAGACAGTTAGAGGTTAATATATGATAATGTAACCATGTTATCAGGCTTTTATATGCAATGAAAGTGAAAAAAGGCTATGATTCACTTTACAGTGATTTTCTCTTTACAGCAGTAGCCCAGAACCTAACCTGCTGTATAAGCAGGACCCTCCTGTAGAGAAGCAAAATACTGTGACTGGAACAATGCACAAATAATCTGCACTTAGGAGATTGAAACTTGTGACATTTTGGACAGACTAGGACCAGTCCAAGTGGGACTGAAATATCATCCTAAGTTTCAATCTCCTAAGTGCAAGTTATCCGTATACAATAACAAGGGGATTTCCATTTAGAAATATACCCAAGCATAATAATGGGTTTCCCAAAAGAGTGTCACACTCCAATCATGACAATGAATCTTCTATACAGGTATCACACACTGAGATTACCACCAATTAAATTACTTGATTAAAATATATGCATAACAATTTCTTTTATTTCACTTACTTCAGAGTTGTGGACTGTTTTCTCACAATATCCGTAGACTGTTGTGATTTTCCAAGTACTTCTTTATATCCCCCAACACCTTCAATCAGAGGTGTTACAAAAAAGGTCAGAAACTTCTGAAGACCATGCCAGACTATCAACTGCAGGAGAAAGGAACGATGAAAAAGCTTGAGATGCTTGTCTGTCACAATATCGGCTTCAAAGAGTTTCACCACAGGAGGCAGTAGGTGTTTATTTGCCTCCTCAGGCCCAAGGGCTTGGGCAGTGACACTAGTCAGATACCAGGCAGCATTAACAGCACTTTCTGGATATTCAAAAAGTTCAATCAAGTAGGGTAAAACTAGGTCTAATCCCTCTGCCGATAGGCTCGGTAATAAATTTGGCAAATCTTTAGCAGCCACCTTGACCCGGATCTCTGCCACTTTAAGAATATATTCTTTTCTTTTCTGGGGTTCACCTAGCAACATGTGAGCTTCAGTCAAAAGTTGAGAATACTGTCTCATCTTGCATACAAATCTATACAATTTTGGAAAGTACGATGGAAAGACAATCACATTAATTAATGGTTGAAGTAACTGATGAGGACTTGGAGGAGGTAAACCATCTGATGACACTGGCTCATATTTATTTGGAAGAGAGTTGTCTTTAGCATCCCTCCAGTTCATAATTTGAAAAATTACTTGTAATGTATGGCGAATGCATCGTGGAATGTCAGTCTGGTCATGTGTGAGAAGTTTACGAGCATGAGCATATCTCTCTTTGAGAGAAGCCTTATTACTCAGAATCCGGCATTTAGAAGGCGAGAACATTTCCACAATTATGCAGCCTATAGCCTGTATATCTCGGACACGTCTTAAGTGGGCTGCCTGCTTTACAGCTTGTTGAATGTCTCTACATTTAATAGATTGCTCTGGAATTCTTCTTGAAGCTTTTATAACCAAATTAAATAACATTTCCACTTGATTAAGGGCTACAAGTGGATTATATTCATGAGGTAACTGTATACTTGGTAATTCTACTTGTTTTTCCTCAAACAGAGAAGTTCTTGAGCGGCTTAATTTTTTGGAGAGTGCTAAAGATTTAATACTTTCCACTTCCTCATCCTGACGTTCTGGTGCTGAGTCCACCTCACTTGTCTCGTCACATTTTTCATACTCTGAAAGAAAAAAAAGTGAAAGAAAAGATCCTTAAGTCCACACGTGTGATATTCACTGTCTTGCTTCCTCTAAGAGCTTACTGGTGACTGTAGCTTGTATGCTTATCCAGAATTTTTCATTAACATTAAATACTGAATGCCATTTTAAAGAAGAACTTGAAACTTTTAGTGAAGAATTCCACATACTGTAGTATATTGACTGAAATATTAGTGAAGCAAATGACATTTAACAATGTAAACATAATCTGAGTACAAAAGACATAAATGCAGAGGAGTCTTCTATTTGTACGTTTTGCCCAACACTGGTATTTTTCAAGTTTTTTTTTTTTTTTTTTTTCAACAAGTCGGCCATCTCCCACCGAGGCAGGGTGACCCAAAAAAAAAGAAAGAAAATCCCCAAAAAGAAAATACTTTCATCATCATTCAACACTTTCACCACACTCACACATTATCACTGCTTTTGCAGAGGTGCTCAGAATACAACAGTTTAGAAGCATATACGTATAGAGATACACAACATATCCTTCCAAACTGCCAATATCCCAAACCCCTCCTTTAAAGTGCAGGCATTGTACTTCCCATTTCCAGGACTCAAGTCCGACTATATGAAAATAACCGGTTTCCCTGAATCCCTTCACTAAATATTACCCTGCTCACACTCCAACAGGTCGTCAGGTAATTAAACCCTCCATGTAACAGACCTCCATATAATGGACAATGGAAATAAGGAACAAAATCCACTGGGCCAACTGATTTGGAAACAATGGATTAAGTCCATTAGTTACAGAACTATCCATTATTTATTCTTGCAATCACAGCAAAACAATCTCTTTTCTATCCACCACAAATACCATTACTAACCACCCGCTTTCCCCTAATTAGTCCATTTTATGAAGGATTCCTCAGCGTTTGTGTCCTTTTCATCACAAGTCTGACGAATATTTGTCAGTCAACTAGTATTTCACTGAACTGAAAAATATATACAATAAATACAGAAAAGCAAAGGATTATGTCATGCTAAAAGTCAAAGGCAATAATCATACTTGTTTCATGATGAGCAGCAATACTGAACTTGGGCGGTGACCTGCCAAGGTAAGGGGATGGCATTAATCTTGGAGGGTGGGGTGTGGTGAACAACTGAACAACTCCTCCAGTAGTCAGAGCAGTATGAGCATCCACCAGTTGTAGGCATACATTTTTAGCCTTCACTGATGCTCCACCAGACAACCTGAAGCAACACTTATCATATACTACAACACACAAAGCAAGACAGGTGGTAGGCAAGTACACTTAACAGGGAAAGATGTCATATAGTTTTACAAAAATAAGGAAAGTGTTCTGTTACCTGTTTGTGGTTCTAGGGCTCATTGCCATATCCCCAGGTGTAAGATAAGGCCTCATAAAATTAAAAAGAAAATATTACAAGTCTATGAGCTATTAGGAAGCATAGAGTAGACTAGAAAAGTGCAAGGACAAACTACATGTTGCAACAAGGAGAAGGCTGGAGACAGTGGAGATGTCATGTCTGAGGGCAATGTGAATATAATGTAGAGAATCCGTAGTTTGGAAATGAGGAGGAGGTGTGGGGTTACTAAAAGTATTATCCAGAAGGCTGGGGAGGGGCTATTGAGGTGGTTTGGGCATTTAGAGAGAACAGAACAAAATAGAAGGACTTGGAGAGTGCATAAATCTGTAGTGGAAGGAAGGTGGGGCAAGGGTAGGCCTAGGACAGGTTGGAGGGAGAGGGTAAAGGAGGTTTTGTGTGTGAGGGGCTTGGACTTCTAGCAAGCATGCATGAGCAGAGATGAATGGTTTTCATGACTTGACATGCTGTTGGAGTGTGAGCAAGGTAATATTTATGAAGGGATTCAGGGAAACCAGTAGGCCAGACTTGAATCTTGGAGGTGGGAAGGACATTGCCTGCACTCTGAAGGAGGGGTGTTGATGTTGCAGTTTTTTAACAGTAGTGTAGGTGTGCCTCTGGCAAGACAGTGATGGAGTGGATGATGAAAGTGTTTCTTATCTTTCAGGTCACCCTGCCTTGATGGGAAATGGCCGATGTGTTAATAAAATTCCCACCAGTACTTGACAAGATATAAAAGGCATGAAGCTGAAGCTCGATGATCCACTAATGGCAACATTGGTGAATGTTGCACACTCCACATGTTTCTATTTTATTATTTTGTACTTTTACTGGTAACTTTTGTGGCTATGAGGCCCCATATCACGTACATTCCTCCAATTTTTGCATTATTTAAAATAAGAACATAAGAAAGGAGGAATACTGCAGCAGGCCTGTTGGCCCATACTAGGCAGGTCCTTTACAATTCATCCCACTAACAAAACATTTGCCCAACACAATTTTCAATGCTACCCAAGAAATAAGCTCTGATATGCAAGTCCCACTCAAATCCAACCCCTCTCACTCATGTATTTATCCAACCTAAATTTGAAGCTGCCCAAAGTCCTAGCCTCAATAACCCAACTAGGTAGACTGTTCCACTCATCAACTACCCTATTTCCAAACCAATACTTTCCTACATCCTTTCTAAATCTAAACTTGTCAAATTTAAATCCATTACTGCGGGTTCTCTCTTGGAGAGATATCCTCAAGACCTTATTTATATCCCCTTTATTAATACTCATCTTCCACTTATACACTTCGATCATGTCTCCCCTCATTCTTTGTCTAACAAGTGAATGTAATTTAAGAGTCTTCAATCTTTCTTCATAAGGAAGAGTTCTAATGCTATGTATTAATTTAGTCATTCTATGCTGAATGTTTTCTAACGAATTTATGTCCATTCTGTAATATGGAGACCAGAAATGAGCTGCATAATCTAGGTGAGGCCTTACTAATAATGTATAAAGCTGAAGTATAACCTCTGGACTTCTGTTGCTTACACTTCTTGATATAAATCCCAATAATCTATTTGCCTTATTACGTACGCTTAGGCATTGCTGTCTTGGTTTAAGGTTGCTGCTTACCATAACCCCTAAGTCCTTTTCGCAATCTGTATGGCTAAGTTCTACATCATTTAACTTTTAAGTGCTAGGGTTATGGATACTCTCGAGCTTCAGAACCTTGCATTTATCTACATTGAACTGCATCTGCCACTTTTCTGACCAAGAATAGAGTTTGTCTAAATCCTTCTGAAGTTCCCTAACATCTCCGTTTGAATCAATTATCCTACCTATCTTTGTGTCATCGGCGAATTTGCTCATATCACTAGTAATACCCTCATCAAGGTCATTGATATATATTATAAACAACAACGGGCCCAAGACTGATCCCTGTGGTACGCCACTTGTTACAGATCCCCACTCGGATTTAATGCCATTTATGGACACTCTCTGCTTCCTGTCTGTGAGCCATGACTCGATCCACGAGAGTACTTTTTCCCCAATGCCATGAGCTGCCACTTTCTTTAACAGTCTTTGGTGTGGAACTCTATCAAAAGCCTTACTAAAATCTAAGTAAATAATATAAAATTCTTTATCGTGATCAACAGCCTCAAAAGCTTTACTGAATAAAGTTAATAAATTAGTTAGACAAGACCGGCCTCTCGTAAATTCATGCTGAGTATCATTAATCAAGCTATGCTTATCGAGATGGCTCCTTATAATCTCAGCTATAACTGACTCTAGTAATTTGCCTACAATTGAGGTCAGGCTTACTGGGCGGTAATTTGACGGTAACGACTTGTCCCCTGGTGGTGACCTGTACTTAACTGTGGTGACCTGTACTTAACTCAGTGGTGACCTGTACTTAACTCTGTGAAGAAGTGTCTTGTTTGCTCCTGTGGACTGAACCAAGATGCCCTCCATCGAGCAACTTTACCAGCAACTTAAGGAAGAATTGAGGGCAGCGAAGATGGAGATACGGCGATTGACCGAGGAAAACAAGAGGATTCGTAGTAGTCCTCCTGTTTCGAGTCCTCAGGTCAAGAAGGGATCGTGGTCAGTGGCTGGACAGCAGGGGACGACGAAGTTGACGATCAAGAAGACGAATGAAAAGCCAGAAACGATGAAGAAGAAAGAGACTGCTGTGGAAACTCCCGTGGAAAACCTCCAACGCATTCTCGGTGCTACCCGACGAATGTGAGTCGACTACTGGGATCGTCACGACGAACGACAACAAGGAAGGTAAGAAAATTGTTGTTGTTGGGATAGCCAGGTTAGATACATGGATAGGGCATTCTGCTTGAAGGACAGGAGTAGGAGACAAAGGGTATGCTTTCCTGGGGCTGGGATGGAGGACATTGTTAGCCGGCTTGACAACATCATGAACGGTAATGGGATCAATCCTATTATTTGCCTCAGTGCTGGAGGCAATGATGTAGGCAAGCGTAGAAGTGAGGATTTAGTTAGAAAGTTCAGGACAGCTTTAGACATGATTAGGAAGAAGGGGGGGCGCCCTGTTATATGTGGCATTTTGCCAAGAAGAGGTGTTGGTAATGAATGGTTGTCCAGAGCAATTGGTATTAATTGTTGGCTGGATAAACACTGTAAGGATAATGCAGTACCATTCATTGACAACTGGGACAACTTCTATGGCCGAAATGACATGTATGCCAGGGATGGGGTTCACTTATCCAGGGCAGGTGTGGGTTTTCTTGCTAACTCAGTTGAGGGGGTTGTTAGGACTTTAAACTAGGATTAGTTAGAGGTATGGGTTTAGAAATGATTAATAATGAGTATGGATATATTGACTTATGCTCTGATATTAAGAATCTTAATAGTAACTGTCATGGAGTAACTCTGGGTAATGATAATTTCAGAAATTGTGTAAAAACAAAGATGAATAGGAAAATGTGCAGAAGAAAAAACAAATGATGGTATTTTATGCTAACAGTCGAAGTGCAAGAAATAAAATTAATGAACTACGTTTGGTGCTTTGTGGGGGAAACTTTGATATCATTCCCATTAACAAAACTTGGTATGTTTTAAAAAGAGTGGGTTTATGACTGCTGGGGTTAATATTCGGGTTTTTAAGTTGTTAAATTTGTGGATAGATGTAATGGGAAGGGGGGGGGAAGTTGCATTGAAATGTTCGAGAAAATTTTAATTGTTGCATAAAAAAACGGTTTAAAAAAAAAATAGATGGAGCGAAAAGAGTCTTTTTGGGTAGATTTTCGGGGGGGGTCGGGAAAAAAACCCAAAATTTCTGGGGTGAAAATTATACCGCCTAAAGGCTTTTTTTCACGATAGAGGGGGATTTCTTTGGGAGGGAAATTTTTTGGGGGCTTCGGGAAAACCCCAGTAAACTAATTAGTAGGGGACTTTAACTTTAGCCAAATTGACGGGGAAAATTTTGGGACGGAAATTAGAGTCCAGGGGAACTTAGGGGAAACAGTTTAATTTGTTTTCGGGAAACAGAGTAAAAACTGGGGGGGCCTCCCGGGGTTTAAAAAATTTGCTAGCCAAAGTCTTGTAAAATAAAGGAAAAACTCGTAAATAATCTGGAGATCATTTGAAGAGTTTTGGCGCAAGTAAATCACAAATCCATCATTTTTTGCTTTTAATTGGGAATCCCAAAAATAATATAATAAAAGTAAAAATCCCTGTTTTTTGTTCTGCCGATTATAATGGATTTTGGGGAAACTTCTGTCTAATTTTTAAATTGGGGTTATCTGAATGATTTTATTGCGTTAATCTTATTAAAATTTATGAAGGGATCTGCTTTTATGATTGTTTTCTTAATAATTTACACATTGCCCCCGAGTATATACATTCCCCAAAAGGGAAATTAGATTAATTTAAAAACGATTCCCCCAAAAGGGGGTTTAACAGGAAAGGGTAAAAGCATCTATTTTTGGGGGAAAAGGGGGAAATTTTAGGGCATCAGAAGAGGAAAAGGTTTTAAAAATTTTGACCAATAAAGTTCAGCTTAAAAAAAGGGAAATAAAAAAGGCGTTAGAAAGGGCTAAACGTGACTATGAAATTTGAGTTGCTAATGAATCAAAAACTAATCCCAAAAGGGGGGGTTTTTAAATGTATAGGAAGGTTTAAGGAAAAAAATAAAGGGCCCCTGAAAACGGGAATTTGGGAAAATGACGGTTTAAAGAAAATGGAAATGTGTTCCCTTTTTTTTTGTCAAATTTTTACACAGGAAAAATTTTAAAAGAGATTCCCCGTAATAACAATTATTTAGTTCCGTGAATTTAAGTTAAAATAATATTACTGTCTCGAGGGACATGGTTATTAAAAAAGATAGGGGCAAACTGAAAAAAAAATAAGTCCCCGGCACCCCAAAGGGGTTGTTTTTAAAGGGGACTTAAGGAATGCAGATGGACTTAGTCAGCCATTAAACGAGTGTATTCAATGCGTCCATCCTTACCAGTGTTGTGCCAAGTTGTGGAAGATGGCTAATGGGGTTTTCCTATATTCAAATCAGGGGATAAGTCCACTCCTTAAAATTACCGTCCAATAAGCCTGACATCTATTGGGGGCAAGTTATTAGAATCAATTATAGCGGACATTATCAGAAGTCACCTTAAAGGGAGCATAACTTGATAAATGGAATCTCAGCATGGATTCACGAGAGGTCGTTCCTCCCTGACAAACTTACTGACGTTCTTCAATAGAACATTTGAGGCAGTTGACAGTGATAAGGAATATGATTTTGTTTATTTGGATTTTAGTAAGCTTTCGGGCAGAGTACCTCACAAAAGACTCTTAAGAAAAGTGGAAGCTCATGGTATAGGAGGTAAAGTTCTAGCATGGAAATTTAGGCATGGCTTACCAATAGAAAGCAGAGAGTTACCATTAAAGGAGTGAAATCTGAATGGGGATTAGTCACTAGTGGCATTCCACAAGGATCATGTTTTTAGGCCCTCTCCTGTTCATTTAAATTTTCATTAATGACCTTGATGAAGGGGTTACTAGGACATGATAATTTGCTGATGATACAAAGATAGGCCGTATAATTCACTCTGAGGAGGATATCAATGAACTCCAGGGCGATTTGGGAAAAAATTAATGTCTTGGTCTGAAAAATGGCAGAGAAGTTTAATGTGGATAAGTGTAAGGTACTTTCCCTTGGTAATGAAATAACCCTCGAAACTATAATCTAGGTGAAGTAGAGCTTGTCATACAGAATGTGAAAAAGACTGGAGTCTGGTAAGCAGTAATCTAAAAGCCAAGACAGCAGTGCCTTAGTGTGTGCAACAAGGCCAACAGAATTTTCTTGGATTTTTTCTCAAGAAGTAAAGTAACAGAAAATCCAAAAGTTATTTTACAGCTCTATACATCACTAGTGAGGCCTCAATTAGATATGCTGCTCAGTTTTGGTCCCCTTACTACAGGGTGGACATAGACTCATTAGAGAACATACAGAGAAGAATGACTAAAATGATTTATTGTGGTAAGGAACCTCCCGTATGAAGATAGACTTAAAGCCTTAAATCTCCACTCTCTGGAGAGGGGTAGAATAAGGGGAGATATCATTGAAGTGTATAAGTGGATTACGGGCATAAACAAGGAGACATTAATAAAGTACTGAGGGTGTCGAACCAGGAAGAACCAGGAATAATGGGTTTAAAATTGGATAAATTAGATTTGAAAGGACATAGGAATACTGGTTTTCTAAAAAGAGTTGTAGATGCTGGAACAGTCTTCCCCGTGGGGGGAAAGGCTAGGGGCCCTTTGGGTAGCTTTAAAAAGGGGACTGACAAAAAATATGAGTGGGAGGGGGGGGTTTGATGGGGTCAAGGGGAAGGGGTTTTTTTA